AACACAAAGCAAATGACACATAAACCAGTAGAGAGTTGTAATATTGCGTTGAAATCAACAAATCGAGCCTTGCTAGTCTAAACCTAATGAAATTTCGCATGAGTGTTCTTGAAGAAAAAAATAGTTCAGGAATAGCCGTTTGACATCTCAAGAATTACGAACGATGATCACAGCATACCTAAAGTGATAGGCGATAAAAAATTCAGCTATCACAAAGACTAATTACGTTCGGGCGTGCTCTGCTTTCATTTGTTGAAAGATTGTGCTTATGAACCAAAACACTTGTACGCAAGGAAAAAGATGGATGATCATTCCATGTTCCTTTCGTTATAATTTGAAACTGAACAAACATTTATCTTTTACCATTCACGATTACAACGAACGATATCTGTCCCTTTCTTTAAGGCAAATAATTGGACGCCTTACGAGCAACAACTGCATGACGTCATCGCCTGCTCACAACAAATGCATACACACCGCAAAGGCTAACGAGTCGTGTCATGTTGATATTCAGTAGCAAAGCCGTGAGGTAAAATCGATCAGCTTGCATAGCCAGCATCCACTGACGCGGCAAGAGTTTGCGAAACGGCCAGAGTAAAAGCTAACAATGTGGGCGGGTGACTCGAGCTCAGCCTCGTTAGCACGGCCTGCCTCGTTGCCTGAGGATCTCCTAATGTGTTCGTTTCCCGGTAGAACCACGCCCACAAAGCAAGCCTCGGCGACATGTTCTTTCCTTTTGATGCAGACTTTGTTTTCGACATTGATTTCACTGCTCATATGCGGCGTTCACGCAGAGTACGTATTGCACTGTGTCTGATTCTTGGTGGAGATTTTCCTTGAATGAATCGAAAACACAGAGGGTGTAGGTGTCGTGGTAGCTTTGTAGGTAAAGTATAAGGCAGTGGAGAACGAGGGCATGGTTTCGATTGCTTTAAACTGCGGTAGCATTTTCAATGGGACGAAATGCCCGAAAACAAGTGTACATAGTCAGGTGTGTGTGGTGTGTGTGTGTGTGTGTGCTTTTTCGCTGTGTATTTGTGTCTATTTATATTTCGCTGTATCGAGCTTATGTATTTATGCTTTAGATGGATCTACTTACTCTTTCTTATTATTGTTTGATCTCTTTTGTGTATTTTCAGAATGCATAGAACTTATGAATTTATGCTTAGTTACTTATGCTTTACATACATGTACATACGCAGTGTTGCGCATTATTGTGGCCAGAATGGGGGTTGGTGAGCTGTCAGGCATTCGATTGCCTTTTCCCCACCCTTTCCCAGTGAACCACTGTGTAAATGATCTATATAATTAATCATAAATAATCTTCAAACGTCAACCTAATTGATGTCATACACTATCATGACCCGTCTTACCTCATAAGCTTGATCATTGAGTCCATGTCTTGAACGTTGCCATGGTCTCGCTTGAAGATGAGTGCTCGTGGAGTCTTGTCATACGTGAACCAGTCACCGAACTTTTCCACCTGCTTCTGGTTACCACTCATGTTGAAGATAAACTCGGATGATCTGCGTTAATAAATTAGCGCCGAGCACAATCAAACTTAAGTAGCACTCACAGTTTAACATTGCCCTTGTACATACAAAAAAATTAAGGAGGAGTACTACTTATTGACAGATGTTAGCTGCGCGTGTGTTTTTATTATGGTATGTACTTGGGCGAAGCATTTCAGATTTGCTTATATACACGAAAGCTTACAGACTTAGCGCTATTTTCACTCAGGTAACCATCTCTGTTTCGAAAGGTATTGCGGCACGTAGATTGGTGCCAAGCAGTCAGCTCATATTTAGCTGTCAGATTTCTTTAGTTCTTTAGTTACTGGAAATTTTCTTGACGCAATATATAGTATGAAAATATTTTAGTAGCAGGAAATTGTGGTCGAATGTGGTGAAATACGACCAATAATTTAATTTTAGTTGTAGGACTTAATATCTCACCACCTACTGATCAGTGCGCCGCTGTGGGAGACTACAAAAAAATCCTTAGTCACCTGGTGTTCCTTACCATCCACCTATTTATAAGGAAATGGGCATTATACGATTTCCTATGTCTCGAGATGCGGAAGGCAGGGTTTACAACTCGTGACGTTTGGTTCGTAGCGCGATACCACTCACTGAAATATTGCACCAACTTGACACAGTTTCATTGCACTTCTCAATGTTTCCAGTCACTAGTACTCTACCGTTATTACGCATATAAAATGTTTTTGCATTAGTATACAAGGTAGCTAGTGCATAGTTGTGAATATGTGTGCTTCTGAACACAACATATGTCCAATAAACACTAATGGAAGCAGAGTACGTACGGTACGTTGTAGCTGGGCCAATACGATTGGTCCCGAAGCACGTTTGTTGCATCCGTGATGTTGATGTAGTGGCTGTAATAGTTAACGAAAAGAATAATGCGCGGGTAACCCTCTGAACGTTTGATTAAATAACTAACCATAAATTGCGGAACAATTCGACAACGATTGTGCGTGCTGTTTGTTATATATCGAAACATTACACACGGCTATAACACTGTCCTCTCAGTACAACCCGAGTAATTAAATAACACCAAGAATATCGATCACCCCTAGTAACAGCTCCCCTACCTGAGATAACAAACTAGCGCACTCAGCCTTCCCGCAGTTTTGAAGTAAAGAAATCACACTTGGGTCTGAGATAGTAGTTACCAAAATTACCTTATACAGGCTACTGAGCTACAGGATATTTGGGCGCAATTCTGAAGAAGACCAATGCCAAGTTTTGTTTTGCTTTTCAGAATAGTGCCAAATATAACCATTTCAACATATTCATCTTCTAAATTTCTTTTCCTTGGATATCCTTGATATTTTCATAATATATTTAACCTTATACATAAGTACTGTAGTTATCCGAATACATAAGTACTGTAGTTACATGTGTCGGTGCGAGTCAAGGGTGTTCCGCCACTCACGGTATTTGCTCCAGCACGTAAAGAAGTCCATCGGGTAACGGCTTGCCGGGTGTGAACTTCTTGTAGTCCAGCACCATCCACTGGTTGTTGTACCTGCATCAACACGTAAGACTTAGAAGAAACAAGCAAGTGCGTGGAAAGGTGGCTACCTAAGCATCTTGTTATGATGTCTTTTTTTCAGGTTACAGTTCTTTTCCGTTTCGTAATGAATCTTTACATAGGAAAGGTTCCAGAGAATGGCTAAAAATCTCAACTCTTGTGCTTTGTGCATTAAAAGTACCATGATGTCAAAAATAAAAACAACGTCGCAGAAACCTATGAACTTCAATCAATCAAAGAATCTCGATAATTGCGTAGTCCACGGTACATGGACCCTTCTCGCAAACCGTCTTGTCCATAAGGGGTTTGCAGCTGCTGTGGCTAGAGACACAATGACGGATAAGATTACTTTGCGTCATTGGTAGCAACGCAATAGAATGCCACAGACTCTGGTATACCTTCTACTTTTCGTTCGATTGGTTTCATTTTATGTTTACTGGTGTACCTCGATGTGGTTACCAGAAAAGTGGTCACTGCCGCATTCTTGTTCCATTGTTCAGTAAAATATGGTGGCTCAATGTGTCAGACAGTGAGAACATTGCCCTTGCATCTACGTCAATGGCCTCGTGTACGTATACAGTTTTACAGCGAAAGCTGATAGGGAATCACAACGAGGCCGCATTGTTTGCCACCACCGTCAATGTCAATAAGCGCTATCGCCAAAAACAAGGAAACAAAATGAAAGAAGAAGAAATATTTTGGATAGAACTGGGTTCAAACCAACGTCCTCTTAATGTTAGCCCCATATTCTAAAGCACAGTCATGCTGCTTCTCTAAAAGCAACACACAAAAACCCTGTACAAGCGTTATGCCAGGAAGCAACTGCATTAACTTATCTAATAAAGTGTAGTAGAAGAATGAAAAAACAACCAGGCATCCCATAATGCATATTGTCTAACCAGGCATCATCCCATTGAATCAATTTATAAAGTAATGGGTACCTTGTAGGCGTATACCTGTATTATTAGCCTCAAGAGTATTTGTCATGTGGTCGACAAATGACGCATTTCAGCGTTCGTTGTGACTGTGCTGCTCTCTGCATGCAGGCTTGAAGTTCTTAATTACTCCGTCGCAGTCAACGTGGCGATCACGTCATTTAACTTCCTCTTGGCCGCATACATGGCGAGACTGGCAGACGACCGTGCAATACGCAGTCACCTGACTATCCGGTTCCCCTTGCGTTTCGGTTGCCTGTGGTTAACTGTGGCTCGAAGCATAAGTAACTCACGTTCCACTGTTGTGCTCAGCGAACAGGTCACTCCATTCCTTGCCCGTGGTCGCCAGTCGGTTGGCCACGATGTTGCGCACGAACTCCAAGTTTGTCTGAGGCGTGATGTACTGGTAAAGGTCGGTATTGCCATTGCCGATTGTTGTTTCCATGGTGGCCTACATAAACGGTACAGTGTCTCGTCTCCTCATTCCTTTTCGTGACTTGTTGATATGCTCAAGAATAGTGACTTAACGACCCCAAAATTCACGACTGACCCAAAAGAAGCAGTCGTGGCCTGCGCCGATAAGAAACAAAGTTTCAGGTTAAAGAAGTCATAAGGTGTGATGCGCCAAATGTTTTTGCCATAGTGTGTTTGGTTGTTTCGGCGAGATATTGGCCGCCGTGCTTACCAGGCCAGACGAAATCAGGTAAAAGTCATCGCCGGAGAAGATCCTTCCTGGTGCAGACGAGAACGTGAGCGTGTGGCCAGGAATCAGTCGGCTATAAAAGGAAAGTACATAGGCTCACAATTTATGCAAATGTATTCGGCTGTTTGGTAGGCAACTATGGTTGCGCACTTAAAGCACTAGGTCATGACAGACACGTGAGAGCGCAGTACCTGGCGCGATAGTCGTCTATACATCACTTGCACTGGCGTATTGAAACAGTCACGTCATAGCACTAACAGTGGTGGCGCCAATTTCGCGAAGTCATGTTGCTTATCACTACATCGCATGCACTGTTTCCTTCGATATTCAAGCACAAAGACCCGTATTGCTTCAGCTTTGTCGTTATCGCACTAAAACATGCTAATGGACACGCAATTACACTGAATTACTGTCATCTAACCTGCCGAATCAGTCATGTTGTGCCTCCATGACGTCACGTGCACGCTGTCAATAGGTGAACGACAACATGAGAAACTATGTCAGATGTTGTCCGGTGGTGGCTACCATACTACCTGTTTCAAATCACCGTGAGACTTACCGCACGGTAATCTGAGTTGCAACTCTGCATTGTTGCGTGTAACTGCACTACAAACAATCTCAACGTGAATGTTTCCTTAAACATTGCTGCCGGATTTCGCAAACTATAGGAAATTCATGTGCTTCGTTGACTTTTCATAACGATGATTATTCTGTATGTTTTCGCTTAATACATTTGCTCATACTGTTCATTTTTCCTTTCCCAGGTGGCATTTTTTTCTTTTACCAAGTAGTTCTTTTATGTTTTGTTTATTGTCATATTTCTGTAGACCGCTCTTACTCAGTACTCCTCTGGGAGCTGTTGGGCAAGATGAACTATCCAATAAAAACAACTAAGCAAACAAAAAAAATGTCCTTTGAAGGCCATTTTCACGGTAATAACTTGACGGCAGGGAAGTAGATAGGCACAAAGCAATCAGTAAATACTATGGACAATATATAGAATTGCAGAAGCAAAAAACACTGTACCTGCTCGAATCCAAGGAGATAAACGAAAAGACATCACAAGTTGCAGAACAACTAATGGGCGCGAGAATAATAGTCGGCATTGTCATTGGGCGTTGAAGCTTGTGCGCTAAACTTCAGTTCATATATTGTGACAGCAATAGCATGAAAAATGTGTGTTATCCAACGCACGTACGTGGCCAGACCTCACAAGGCAGGTTGAGCAATGCACTTCTGGAATCGACAACAGTAATATGGTTTCTTATAAAAAGATTGGGTGGTGTTCCTTAGCACCGTCCACTTTCTTTTTTTTTTTCAAATAAACAAGTCTTATCGCTGAAACATGTGCTTAACTTCATCAGGGAGTCTATATTCCGAGTGAGCTTTTCTGCGATAGCATCTGTTCTGGTTACATTGCCTTGATCTCATACCTGATCTGTTTTTAGCAGCATAACACTTTGAAAGGCTCTCAGAAGAAAGAAAAAAATAGCACTACAATACAAGCTCGACAAAATTTTGTTCAAAGAAAAAGCTACAAGCACGTAGCTGAGGGAAGTGCCATTTAATTACCAGTATTTAAAATTGCACGTTCAATGTTGTGTTGACTGTGCCCGCATTTGTAGTTTCAGTGTTTTTACAATTTAAAAAGACTGCGTAAAGAACGTCACGGCGCGCTAATTCCGTTTCAAGCGGCTATGCCCATCTTAACGTACTGCTGTCTGCACTGATTAATTTACAGCTTAATTACCGAGCAACGTTTATATGCTATTTTTGGTCCAAGCATTAAAATAATTTTTTACATAGTTGGCATCAGTCCAAATTTATGAAGCTTTTTGTCGATATCTGCTTTCTTCTGAAGTCCATCTACATTCAACATTATGTAGAATGTAGATCCCACCGTAAGATCATTAGAGACTACAATGTTCAGCCTGATTGCATCAAGCGCAGTACGACCTCCATTCAGAGCGATTCCTAATCATCGCTTCCTTGCATGACCTGATGCCGTTATAGTCCTTCAAATTTATTTCACTGCATTGGTGGCACATACAATACAGCTGATGTTGAGAAAAATAGGTTGACTAAACTGTGTGCTCTGTGTTCTGTACTCACTCGATTCGAAGGTCTTGTGGAAACGCAGCGAGTACTTCTTGAGTATCCTGAGCATGCTGGCGTAGGTGGACCACGTCACTTGAGAAAAGTAGATGTCCCTGTTTCCGGGCAGCACTTTGACGAGAGCTGAGCAGGAGCCTGAGCCGAGTACCTTGCGGCTGACGCGGCGCTTCAGGGCACCCTCAAGGTCTTCCAAGTCACCGTCCGCATTCAGGAACCTGGAACCGAAGACACATGGCTGTTTTCAGAATAATGTCGTGACGAAAACTTAATGTCTTCCGCAGGCTTTTGTGCGAAGTGTTGTGAACTTTTGCGCCTAAACAGTTTTTGAAGACGTAATAGTTGTCTGGGCGAGTTGACACCAGGTGGCGCTTGACAATAAGCGCTCCCTGATGGGACTTCAGCGGTCGGAGTGGTAGAGGTCGGACGTGTTTTTGGAGAGCTCCGGAATGACAGCTACAGATAAGTGTTTTTGCATGTTTCCAGCTTGCCTCTATATGTAGCGTTATGAGAACGTAAGGCGCTAGCGTAAAGCTTGATTAGGTCTAGTACGGTGTACGTTTTTTTTATTAGTATTTTGTACTGTGTCTTTTTTTCTCCAGCCACCACGTGGCTGAAGCCTGCGCGTAGACCGACCACGTGCATGCGCAGGTGCTGTGAAGTGTAGCGTATTTATTTATTATTGTGGTTCTTTTTGGCTTAGACCAGTGTATTTTAGTACAGTTTTCTAACACGTGGGCATCGGTAAACTGAGCTAGCCATGGTCAAAAAGACCGTAAAGTGTTCAGAGTGCGGGTAGGGTGGAAGGTGGAAATTAGTGCGGAGGAGAAAGCAGAAGATGACGCCAAGTGTAGACAGTGCGAGTTCGAGGAGAAAATGAAAAATATGATGGCGGTCCAGAGTGGGCTCATGGAGAAAATCGCAGAGCTGGAGAATGCATTGGCGAAGGAGCGAGAGAAAACGTCAGCCATGGAAGAAAGGCTCCGGGCAGCCGAGAAGGGCCTATCGAAGGTCGTGAAAGGGAACGAAGACGCAGGTGACGGCGGAAGCATTATGGCGACGACCCCCCGTGCGGGAGAGATGAGGAAACAGGCATGACAAAGGCAGATACATTGGCCACAGGGCCCAGCTACCGGGAAGTAGTTTTGAGGGAGGGAGGGAGCAAACCAGCAGCCGTGACTCACGCTAGTCACCTAGTCAGCAGCCAGGTGCAGGTTTCAGAAGGAATGTCTGAACAGGTCATCATCGCCGGTGACTCAAATTTAGTCCGATGCGCAGCGGCAATCAAAGAAAGGGTGAAAGGCGACAAGAGAGTTGCGATAGGGACGTTCCCAGGGACAAACGCTGGGGACAGTAATGAGTCCAAGCGGGTGAACAACTCGCAGCTCAAGCTAACAATCGTAACCTCGTTGTAATTGCGGGAGGGTTAAATGACGTCCTGAAAAAAGAATCGTCAGGACTAGCGACGACCTTGGCGAAAGGGGTGGATGACATGCTGCACCGTGTCCCCCCAGGTGCAAATTGTAGTATGCACAGTACCGGAAGTACCAGTACGCAACGTCAACCTGCAAAGAGCGGTTGTCGACGCAAACAAGAGATTATGGCGAATTAGTCGAGAGAAGGGTTTCGAGGTAGTGGATTTTAAACAGGGAAGTGCACAGGTGGGGTGGATTCCAAAGAGACAAGATTCATTTCGATAGAGGCTTGGACACGAGGTGGGCTGGCGACTGGCAGGACGCGCAGTAGCTTTTTTGGGGGGCTCACGGGCCCTTCGGAGTCCGGGTAGCTCGTAACAGGGAAAACAACCAGGAGGACGCTTGACAGGTAGAATTGCGAAAAACCAGAAAAAAGGTAAAAGAAAAAGGAAAAAGGCGCGTGTTGCAATTAGTTACATAAACATGCAGGGTGGCAGAAAGAAGGCAAAATGGTTAGAGATTGAGGAGCAGTTAAACAAAGAAACAGATAGGCGTGTATGCGGTTACAGAAACACACCTTAGAGACTTGGAAGAGCCACCACATATTAAAAATTATGTTTGGGAAGGGTGTAACAGGACCATATCGGAAAGGAAAGGTGGGGGTGTAGGAATGCTAATTCACCGCGGAGCCAAATGGGTTAGAGTGAAACAGACGTGTTCAGAGCACCTCTGGGTTCTGGGCACAGTAGGTGGAAAGGAAACGTGGCTAGGGGTAGCCTACTTGTGGACGGTGAATAACTGCAGAGAAAAGAATCAGGAGATAGTGGATTGCATGAGTGCGGATATTAAGGAATTTGGTAATGGGGCCCGAAATCATCCTTCTAGGGGACATGAATGCCCACATACATGACCTTGACGGATATTCAGACCACCAATGGGAAGTTAATTACTAGATCTTTGCGAGCAACATAGTCTGGAGATAGTTAACACGGGGCCTAAATGTGACGGCCAGATCACATGGGAAGTCGGAAACAAGCAATCAAGTATTGATTATTGTCTCATGACTGAAGGAATTTACCACAAACTGACAGAAATGAGGATAGACGAGGAAGGCATTAACAGCTTGGGTAGTGATCATAAACGAATAACATTACAAATGGGATACGAAACTGAAAATATGAGCATGGAATCAAAGTCTGGCAGCTCGTATTTAAATGACAAACAAATAATAAATATAGCCGCAAGAGTCGAGGAAGAAGTAGGCGAAATACCAGGCAAGGACTGGGAGTATAGTGAGCTGTTACATCTAATGACGAAGGAGATAGGGAAAGAGAAGAAAACTGTTTGCTGGAAAGGAAAAAGGAAGCCAAAAAGTTGGTGGAACAAGGAAATCCGGGAGGCGATCGAGAAGCGACGCGAAGCATCACGGGAGCATAGAAAGGCAAAAAAGGAGAAGCGGCCGCAGGACGAAGTCAAAAAAATATGGGAAATATATTTAGAGAAAAAATCCCTTGTACAGAAATTGGTAGAGGCAAAAATTAAAGGTGAAAGTGAACGCTGGATGACAGAGATACACGAAAAAAAGGAGGCCGCGCCTAGGATTTTTTGGAGCCACATAAAGGCGCTAGGTAGGAAGTCTGTCACAACGCAACAACATATTCTAGATGAAGGAGGAAATCAATTGGAAGGGTACGAAGCGCTAGGTTACATCCAAAAGGTAACAGCCGATTCGTTTCAAAAGAGCGTCCAGGGGATCTCCCCGGTGAGTAAAAGTGTGGCGGAGAAAGCAACAGAGGAAGAGCTAGTACTTGATAATTTCAACTGGAAAAAGGCCGAAGGAAAAATTCCAAAGCGCACTGCCGCGGGTTTAGATGGGATTCCCGTTAGCCTCATTAACGAACTAGGACATAACACTAAAGAAGCATTGTTAAAAGCAGTAGAAAAAAGCTTAAAGGACGGACAAATACCGGACAGTTGGCGACAAAGTAGAATGAACTTAATCTATAAAGGCAAGGGAGAAAAGGACAAGATTCGCTCGTATAGACCACTAACCATTACATCGGTACTATACAGGTTGGCGATGCAAGCAGTAAAAATGAAAATAGAAACATGGGCCGAACATAACGATATTTTGGGGAACTTCAGAACGGATTTCGAGTCGACAGGCGGTTAGACGATAACCTGTTTGTTCTCACTCAGTGTATAGAAATATCTAAAATAGAGAATAGGCCCTTGTACGTGGCTTTTCTAGACATCACTGGGGCATACGACAACGTTAATCAGGAAATTTTGTGGGATATATTGAAAGGAATGGGCATGGGCGACGACTGTATACAGCTTTTGAGGGAGATATACCGAGAAAATACAGTTTGCATAGAGTGGGAAGGAATGCGTAGCAAAGAGAACGTTGAGGTTAGCAGGGGTCTGAGACAGGGATGTCCTTTGTCCCCGCTGTTATTCATGCTGTACATGGTGAGTATGGAAAAAGCGCTAGAAGGTAGCAACATTGGTTTTAATCTGTCACACAAACAGGGCGGCATGATGATTGAGCAGAAGCTTCCAGGTTTATTTTATGCGGACGATATCGTCTTATTTGCGGACAGTCGAGATGATATACAGCAGCTGGCGAATATATGCGGAAGGGAAGGTGAAGCTCTTGGACTAGGATTCAGTGTAACGAAGTGTGGATTGATGGTATTCAATGATCCCTGTGATCAGACGGTGTCCATACAAGGCCAAGAAATACCGAGGGTAAGTGAATACAAGTACCTTGGAGTATGGGTAAATGAGAGTGATAGATACATGGAGGTACAGGAAAAAGCCTCGGCAGCAAAAGGAAAGAGGAATGCGGCAATAATGAAGCACAGAGCGTTGTGGGGATACAATAGGTATGAGGTGCTTCGAGGTCTGTGGAAGGGTGTAATGGTTCCAGGGCTTACTTTTGGGAACTCAGTGGTGTGCATGAGGGCAGAGGTGCAATCGGGAATGGATGTAAATCAAAGGACTGTGGGACGCCTCGCGTTGGGTGCTCACGGGAAGACGACAAACGAGGCTGTAAAGGGCGATATGGGGTGGGCAGGTTTTGAGGCGAGGGAAGCGCAGAGCAAAATAAGGTTCGAAGAAAGGCTAAGAAATATGAAGGAGAGTAGATGGGCAGAGAAGGTGTTCCGTTATTTGTATAGGAAGAGCGTGGACACACAGTGGAGAAAAAGAACTAGAAGACTCACTAGTAAATATACGGCTGGTATTGTGAGCCATATGTCAACAAAGAGCGTTAAGGGAAAAGTCAGGGAGGCGGAGAGGATTTACTGGATGGCAGCTATGGAGAAAAAACCGGCTTTGAGTAACTACCGAAAGGGCAAAAATGAAATAAGGAGGGAGGCATTTTACGATAATTCAAGGGGAAGCGCTTTACTGTTTGAAGCGAGATCGGGTTGCCTTAGAACGCGTAGTTATAAAGCAAGATTCAGTAAAGAAGAAGAACAATGCACATGCTGCGGGAAAGATAAGGAAACGGCGGAGCATGTTCTGATTGAATGTGGAGATATCCACCCAGGTGTACGTTTGGGCACGAGCCTACAGGAAGCCTTGGGTTTTAGGGACAACAATGGAAAGCTGAACACACCCGCGATTGAAATAAGTAAGAGACGGTTAGAGTATTGGTGGCAGAAAATTAGAGAGAAAGGACAAAAATAAATATTGGAAAAATAAAATATGGACAGTGTGCCGTAAATGGCAGAGAACTTAAGCTGAAAATTTACCTTTTTTCCATTAAGATAGAATTTATCGAAGTAGAGGCATTA